AGAGAGAGAGGGAGGGGGAGCATACCAGAGAGAGAGAGAGAGAGAGAGAGAGAGAGAGAGAGAGAGAGAGAGAGAGACTGAATGACAAAATTGAAATATGGGTCAAATTGCGGCCGCGATCTATTTTGCAGTTAAAATGATTTTTTTAAAATTTATTTAGCATTTTTCCTGGAAAGATCACAACAAAATCTACGAGTACTCTAATTTTCAGGTTTTTTCACGCATTTTTCTGAGCATGAAAACTCACTGAATTTTAAGTATTTTTTTAGTTGGCCCATGCATGGCCGAGTGGCAAAAATGAAAAATGTACCGAATCGGCGAGGCGATAATTTCGCAGTGTAAATGATTTCTTGTAAATGTTTTACTATTATTTCTGGAAAGAACACGACCTCATCTATGGATTATCGAAAAAATTTCAGATTTTGTGCATGTTCGTCCGAGCACAGAAAATCGTCAAAATTGCCTCTTGCAAAACGCCTATTTCGTTGTGCCTGACCTCCCTGTTTTGAGAAGACGGGGCTCAATGCCTGGGCCTGAGGGCCCTTTTGCAGTTCACATGCCCGCACTTCTTTTTGGGGTCCGCTTCTACGCGGGGACCGGTCCAACGCCCCCCACTTCTTTTTGGGGTCCACTTGCACCCGAGGACCGGTTCTTCCTTTTACCAAATGTCCCGGTTCTAGAAGAGCTAGCTGTAGGTAGTCCGCAATTTTGCTAAGGACCGATCCCCAAAAAACATTTGTCCCCTAAGAACCCACTTCATGTCCTGGTCGCCCGCCACTGAAAATGCGACACCTTGACACAGACGCGGAAGCACACTATACCGCAGCCTTAGGGCTGCGAACTGCCATGCGGTTATAGGTAGGGAGGGAGCTAGAGAGGGTCTAGAGTAGGGAAGGGGGTTAGCCTCCCCACAGGGCTTAGGAAGTTAGGAGACTAGTAGGAGGTAGGCAGTTGGTTGAACTCATGAATGGTTGAGCAAAATCATAAGCTTAAGTTCGCAGCCCGTCAGAGGTGCGTTTTATGCCCCTGAGACATTTTTCGTCGTCGTCACCAAACGGTGCGGTAGTTGGAAGGGTGGTGTATTTGTTTGGGGGTCCAATTCGTGGAGAAGGGTGGTGTATTTGTTTGGGGGTCCAATTCGTGGAAAATAGGCAGTTGGAGGACCGGTAGCTGCCTACATGAGGTCGGGGAGGCCAGATCCTGAAAAGTTTTCGTTGTTGGAGGACCGGTAGCTGCCCGCAGGAGGTCGGGGAGACCAGGTCCTGAAAAATTGGCATTCCGCTGAGTTAGGGCGGGTTTTTAGGGGGGGCGCCGACTGGAAGGCGCAAGCCGGTCCAATCTTGCAATTTTCGACCGCCAACTTTGGTGATTTTTCGTACGCAGAATAATTGGATAAAAGATATGAAAATTTGATATCAGGTAGGCCAGGTCGTGATCTTTCCAGGAAAAATATCAACAAAATAAAATAAAATCGATTAGACCATGAAATAAATGCCGCGCTAATTCGTCACTTTTTCCATTTTTGGCACACGACAACTTGTGGGCCAACGGGAAAAGTACCCCTATTTCAAAGATTTTTCACGCTCAAAAGAACTCCTAAACAAAGATCTTTTGAGGAAAAATGTTTAAAAAAAATAAAAAAATTGTCTCAACCGCGAAATAACTTATAGCACAAATTCATCCTATTTTCCATATTCACCACTCTGCCGGTTCTCCACTCTGTGCTACTGGTAGCCCTCATGGACCTGTTCGCAGCCCGTCAGGGGTGCGTTTTATGCCCTGGGAACATTGCGTTTTTTATGCCTGGGAACATTTTCCGTCGTCGTTACCAAACGGTGCGGTAGTTGGAAGGGTGACTTATTTGCTGGGGGTCCAATTCGTCGGAAATAGGCAGTTCAAGGAAGTGCAGGACTGGTAGCTGCCCGTGGCATTAGGGCCTTGAAATTTCGAATCTAAAACGGCGTGGACGCAGACCCTGTGGTGAGTTAGGGTGGGTTTTTAGGGAGGGCGCTAACTGGAAGGCGCAGGCGGGTCCAATCTTGCAATTTTCGAGCGCCAACTTTGGCGATGTTTCGTACGCAAAATAATTGGAGAAAAAATCTGAAAATTTGATATCGAGTAGGCCAGGTGGTGATCTTTTCAGGAAAAATATCAAAAAAATAAAATAAAATCGTTTAGACCATGAAATAAATGCCGCGCCAATTCGTTACTTTTTCCATTTTTGGCACACGACAACTTGTGGGCCAACGGGAAAAGTACCCCTATTTCAAAGATTTTTCACGCTCAGAAGAACTCGTAAACAACTCTGAAAATTTGAGGGTCCGTAGATTTGGTCATGATCTTTTCAGGAAAAATATTTTAAAAAATTAAAAACATTGTCTCAACTGCGAAATAGCTTATAGCGCAAATTCATCCCATTTTCCACATTCACCACTTTGTCGGTTCTCCACTCTGTGCTATTGGTAGCCCTCATGGACCTGTGCTCCCGGTCCCCCGAATTTCCAACGTCGGGTAGAGTGGTGGTTTGAATTCGAAGCCTGTCGTGGTCGAAATCGAAACAGGCTAAAAGCAGCGGCGGCCGCTCCCGTTTCCTCTGCGTTCACAAAGTGATAGTCTCCCTGTGTGCGTGGGGAGCGTGATGCCTTATCGATCGAGGCGTTTTGACAAAGTGGAGCCGCGCCTGATTTCTCTCTCTCTCTCTCTCTCACACACACACACACACACACACACACACACACACACACACACACACACA